AACCAATGCATAAGAAAAAAAGATTAACATATGTTCTTACCCAACAGGAGGAAAAACATAAAAGTTATATTTGAAAATAAAATCCTATCTTTACATTGTAGCTAGAATGGCTTGGATTTGATAACCCTACAGGCTGGGTAAACTGAGGCAGTTTTCATAGGATTGCAGAGATTCAGTGTTCCCACGTTCAAACTAGAAATAAAAATCCCTATACTGCGGCATTATTGTATAAATTAGGGCTAACATGTAAAAGAAGATGTTAGATAAACCTTACAGTCTTCATTATATTAGTTATAACACTGACAAAATGAATAGTGTGCTACAGTAATGAAAATGCTCATCTTACATAGGGGCAAGAAATAAAATCTCTTGGCAATTATTGGCAGTTTTCTGTGTGTCTCACTCAGCCTTCACCCCAAACCTCCTTCCTACTGCCGCCCCCCACCCCACACACATATAATAGCAATTTGCCACTGGGATATTTAGTATTTTAAAGAATTTAAATACTAAACAACCCAGATTATTATGAGCCTTACCTGATTCTGCTCATTGGCTCAGGTGTGGGTATGTACATCGGAGCACTGAGTGGAGCAGCAGGCTCCACATACAATTTCCCGGAGCAGATTGCATTTCCTTTAATATTGCTGGCAAATGCAGTATAGATGCCCTCATCTTCTGGAAGAACAACAGGTATGCGCAGACTAGCTCTGCCATCTTGTAGAAAGTCCATTTGGTATCTCTCTCCATGCCTAATGCGCTTGCCATCTTTGTACCACGCAATCTGCAAGTAATAGGTACATGTGAATTAAATGTAGATAAAATAGTTACAGTGTAACCTAGTTGTATCTTTATTGTGGCATGGAGGTACGGTAAACGGTTATATTTTACCTTGGGCAATGGATAGCCAGACATCTTGCAATGAAAGGTAACACCCATCCCCTCAAGAATCCTATAATTCTTGACTCTTAAATCAAATCCTGCTTCAACAGCTTCAGATTCAGAAATGTCAACTGCCATCTTTTCTTCTCCATCTTCTTCAAGAAGTTCTTCTAATGTAGTCTTTATTATCCTGTATTCAATTTCTTTAATAAGCCTCTCTTCAAAAGAAGAAATGTGGAATTCCTATGTAGCAAAAAAGATGATAGTTTGTTAAAAAGACATATCC